ACTTTTCATCCCGTGACTTATTCATTCCATAACTGGAAGCCCGTACCTCTCACTCCCCTTTACCCATTTTGCTCATTTCACTCCCCCCTCCCTGCCAACCATCAGTTTGTTCTCTTTTTAAAATTTTTAGCACACATTGACATTTAATTATGGTGTCACTCTATTTGTGGAACACATTTCTGTTTCCTTTAGTGTACTTATATTCACACTTATTTGGATGCTTAGCTGTCATGTTACCTAGAAGAGTTCCTAAACTCTTTACATAACTCTTTGATTCTTAAATACCCCGTTCCTTCCCCTGGAATTATTTATGTCTCCCCACTAGACCGTAATGAGAACAAAGACTGTAATTTATCCTTCAACAAAAATGCTTGAAGCACTGTGACAAATGGGGGATCTTTTAAATATTAAAAAGAAAGCTCCACTCTCAGGATTTTACAGTTAAGGTTGGGTATAAACCAAAAGTTAAACAACTAAAATATATTATGATACTCTGATAAAGGTAAACCCAAAGCTTTATAGAAGCAAATAGGAGGAGTTAACTCCAGAATTTAGTCTGGAAGGATACAAACCAGACTGTTAATAATAGTTATCTGTAGAGAAGAAAGTGTATGTGTGTATATATGTGGTATTTGGAGGAGAGAAGTCAAGATAAAGGAATAGTTAACTTTTTACTCTGTTGTATTGTGTGAATCCTTTTAAAGAATGTGTACTTATCACTTGCTTGTGCAATTAAATAAAAAAAAAGTTCATGCGATGAAGGGGTTGAAGGGATACCTGAGAGAGGAAATAATAGCAAAGGCACAGAGACTTTAGCCCAGGAGAATGCATTATATTCAGGGAGGTACAGGACACATTATATGGCTGTCCCATAATAAGCCTAAAGGGAAATGTCAGGAAATCAAATTAGAGAGTTAGATTTGGGCCAACCCAATTTTGTAGGCTCTTAGAGTAGGTAACCAGAAAAGCATGAGAGCATTAGCCAGCAAAGGTGAAGGAGGAAGGCATGGAGGATACCAGAGATAAGAGGTAAAATCTACTAACTTGGTGCATAGATATGGAAGGTAAATGAGCCCTGTCTCAACTGAGTTCTGCAAGAGAATTAAACCCTAGGGCCCTAAGGCTTCTATTATATATAATGGATTAATTTCCTATGCATCTGGAATAGAATTAATTATGTACTGATCCTTGGAAAAAATGAGAAATAATTATTTTTTGTGTTTAAATAAAGGTCCTAGATTGAGAAAGGCCTTGGTAATTGTGTGGAAGATGGTTTTTTATTATTTTCTAAAATATGTCCTATATGTGTAGAAGCAAATAGGAGTTTAGTTTTCAGTATATTGAATTTGAGGTATTTATGGGACATTTGGGAGGAGAGATGGGATAGCTAGTTGAGTAAAAGATTTCTAGTTTTAGTGGAGACCTAGACTGGAAATAAAGTTTAATAGTCATCAGCATATAGGTGTTGTAATTAAAGTCATAGATTCAGATGGATCACCCAACTACTGTGAAGGAAAAAAACCCAAATATTTAAAATAGAGTCTGAGGGAATTATGCCATTTGGGAGATGGGCATTAAAAGGTGAGCCTGATAAAACTAAATCAAGAAATGGAAAGCTGAAGAAACTTAAGGCATAGAAGGCAAGGAAGAAAAGAATTACAAGAATGAGGGAGGGATTGACAAACTGTGTCATTAATGTAGAAAAGTATCCATTGGCCATGGTAATATGGAGATCAATGTGGACCTTACTGAGAGAAGCTTTGGAAGAATGTATGGGCAGAAGTAACATTAGAGTGAGTTGGAAGTGAATAGGAGGTGAGAAAGCAGAGATAGCAAGAGTGAACAACTGTTCCAAGAGGCTTGGCCATGAGGAATAATAAAGGGTTTGTCTTGAAGAAGGAAGAGGATTTTGGATGTTTATATGTGAAGGGAAAAGGTCAATAGGGAGAGAAGAGGAAGAAACAGTACAGAAGAAAGAGAGAAGTGATGGTTAATGGTTTCTGAGCTGAGGAGGAACATTAAGCCATAGATAGAAGGGAGATTCTTCAAGACTGGAAAGAAATACTAATGTAGATTAAATTATAAGTAACTTAGAGGAAATTAAAGGAGTCTTGACTTAATGGCTCCAGATTTCTCTATGAAATAGGAAATTAAGTCATCTGCTGAGTTAGTGGGAGAAAGAGATTAAATGAGAGTTTGAATAAAAAGATGAAATTTTGGAATAGTTACTGAAGGGAATGAGAAGAAGAGAAAGGAACTAAGATTTATTGAAGATCGAATATTTGTAGCCTGTATGGTGAAAGCTTTATATACATTACTGCATTTAATTTTAACAATTGTCATTCTATATATATCAAAAAAAGAATAAACATCTTGCTCATTTCTCACAGCTAGTAAGTAACAGAGCCAGAATTTGAACCCACAGTTTTTGGTGGGTTCTATCAGATCCCATGACAATCTATCAGATCCTATGACTGATAGACCTCTAGGGTTTAACAAAACCCAAGGCAGTATAATTAAATTTGTGGACTATGAGATTTTGTGATGGATAGGGAAAAAAGTAGAGCTAGAAGTAAAGCCAGAGAGTAATAATAAATTGGGGGGGAAATGGGAGGGTTAAAGGTTTAGGAATATCAAGGAGGTAAAATTAAAATTTTGAGGTGAAGGTGAGAGAGGGCATGGAGAGTAGGGGGAGTGATTATAGCTAGCATTTATTAAGTTTTTAGAGTACTAGATACTATACTAAGCACTTTATATGCATTATTTTATTTAAGCCTCACAACCCTTAATAATGTAGATACTATCACTATTTGCATTTGCTAGATGAAGTGGTTTTGACTGTTATTTTCCTAAATTAAACTAATGGGGTCACATTTTCATCAGGCAGCTTTTATGGTTAATTTTATGGTTAATTTTCTTACTACATTTTATGGCTTTTTTGTGGTTAATTTTCTTACTGCATCCTTCCCCTTTCCCCCACCATTCTCTCCATTCCCCCACCCACCCTCTGAGAGAATCATCAGTTTATTCTCTATAGTTAAGAGTCTGTTTCTTGGTTGGTCTCTCTCTCTCTTTTTTTTTTTCTTTGTGCATTTGTTTTGTTTCTCAAATTCCACATATGAGTAAGGTAATATGGTATTTGTCTTCCTCTGATTGACTTATTTTGCTTAGCATTATACACTCTAGCTCTCTCCATGTTGTTGCAGATGGCAAGATTTCATTCTTTTTTATGGCTGAATTGTATTCCACCTCTTCTTTATCCATTCATTGATCAATGGACACTTGGGCTGCTTCCATAGTTTGGCTACTATAAATAATGCTGCAATAAACATAGGGGGGATGTATCCCTCTGAATTAGTGTTTTTGTATGTTGGGAATAAATAGTAGTGTGACTACTGGATTGCAGAGTAGTTCTATTTTTAACTTTTTGAGGAACTTCCATACTGTTTTCCCCAGTGGCTGCACCAGTTTGTATTCCCACCAACAGTGCAAGAGGGGTCCTTTCTCTCCACATCCTCGCCAACACTTGTTGTTTCTTGTATTTCTTATTTCAGCCATTTTGACAGGTGTGAGGTGATATCTTATTGTGGTATTGATTTGCATTTCTCTGATGATCAGTGGTGTTGAACATATTTTCATGTGTCTGTTTGCCATCAGATGTCTTCTTTGAACAAATGTTTGTTCATGTCTTCTGCCCATTATTTATTTATTTATTTATTTGAGAGAGAGAGTGCATGAGTAGGGGCAGGGGCAAAGGGAGAGGGGGAAGCAGAATCCCCGCTGAGCAGGGAGTCCAATACAGGGCTCAATCCCAGGAACCCAAGATCATGATGTGAGCCGAAGTCAGATGCTTAAGGGACTGAGCCACCCAGGTGCCCCTGCCCATTTTTTAATTGGACTATTTGTTTTTTGGGTGATGAGTTGTATAAGTTCTTTATATATTTTGGATATTAACCCTTTATCAGATGTCATTTGCAAATATCTTCTCCCAATCTGTAAGTTGCCTTTTAGTTTTGTTGATTGTTTCCTTTGCTATGCAGAAGCTTTTTATTTTATTTTTTTAATTTAAATTCTAGTTAGTTGACATACAGTTCAATATTGGATTCAGGAGTAGAGTTCAGTGGTTCATCATTTGAATATAACACCCAGCACTGATCATAACAAGTGTCCTCCTTAATAACCATCACCCATCTATCCCATTCCCCACTGCCCTCCCTCCATCAACCCTCAGTTTGCCCTCTATATGTAAGAGTCTCCCATGATTTGTTTCCCCCCTCTCTCTTTTCTTTCCCCTTCCTGAATGTTCATCCATTTTGTTTCTTAAATTCTACACATGAGGGAAGTCATATGGTGTTTTTCTCTCTGTGTGCTTTTTATTTTGATGTAGTCCCAATAGCTTATCTTTGCTTTTATTTTTCTTGCCTCAGGAGACATACCTAGAAAAAATGTTGCTACAGCCAATGTCAGAGAAATTACTGGCTGTGCTTTCTTCTAGAATTTTTATGGTTACAGGTCTCACATTTAGGTCTTTAATCCATTTTGAATTTATTTTTGTGTATGGTGAAGGAAACTGGTCCAGCTTCATTCTTTTGCATGTGGCTGTCCAGTTTTCCCAACATCATTTGTTGAAGAGATTGTCTTTTTCTCACTGTATATTCATTCATCCTTTGTTGAAGATTAATTGGCCAAATAATTGTAGGTTTACTTCTGGGTTTTCCATTCTATTCCATTGATATATGTGTCTTTTTTTTTTTTTTTGGCTTAAAACATTAGGCATTTATTTTTCTCAAGTAACAAGCCTTGAAGACATTATAAGTTTTTACTTTCAGCATCAAGTGGTGACATATCTAAGGTATGAATAAGGATTTATCGCAGTCATTGCATAACATATTTCTCCCATAGGTCTGTTATTCAGATGCTTTCTCCCATTCTTTACATTCAGTTTTTCTCTGCAGTTGGCATTTGCTTTTATGCCTTACAGAATGAGAGTTCACTAAAAATTATTGCATATGGACATTACTAGGAGTTTTACCCAGCATGAGTGCTCTCATGATGCCGCTGAAGGGATGAGAGCTTACTGAAAGCATGTTCACAGACATTGCATTGTTAAGGTTATTCGCCAATATGGACTCTTTTTGCACAGTAAGATTACACCTTACACTGAAGGTTTTCCCACATTGATCACACTCATAGGGTTTCTCTCCAGTGTGAGTTCTTATGTGTATTGTAAGGGATATATGCCTCCTAAAAACTTTTTCATGCTCACTATACTTGAAGGGTTTCTTTTCCCTGGTGTGCTTTTTCATATGTCTCCTATGAGGTAAGAGACCACCAAAGGCTTTCCCACATTCCTTACATTCATATTGTTTCATTCTCATGTGAATTTTCTTGTACAAAGTGAGGAAAAATTTCACTCTGAAGGCTTTCCCACACTGATTAGGTGCAAAAGGTTTCTCTCCAGTGTGAATTCGCACATGTTCTTTAAGGCATGAGTGATCCCTGAAGGCTTTCCCATATTCATTGCATGTACATGGTTTCTCTCCAGCATGCATTTTCTTGTGCACATTAAGATTACAGTTCATTCTAAAAGTTCTCCAACACTGATCACACTTGTAAGGTTTCTCCCTAGTATTTGTATGTATCCACAGGTGTGCTTTTCCACAGTGGCTATACTCAACACATTTCTCTCCAGTGTGGATTCTCTTATGTCTTGTAAGGTATGAAAGAATACTGAAGGTTTTCCCACAATCATTACAGGCATAGGGCTTCTCTCTGGTATATATTATCTTGTGCATGGTAAGCCTAAAGCTTCTACTGAAGGTTTTGCTGCACTGATCACATTTGTAGGGTTTATCCCTTGAATGAATTCCTTCATGTAGTCTGAGAAGGAACTATCTCTGAAGGTTTTTCCACACTCTGAAGGTTTTTCACAGGGCTTCTCCCCAGTGTGAATTCTCTTGTACCATGTAAGATAAGAGGTTCGGGGCGCCTGGGTGGCCCAGTCGTTAAGCGTCTGCCTTCGGCTCAGGTCATGATCC